AAGATCAATCAGCCTTTTTGAGTCCATTGGCTTAACACTGTTTAATCTGGATGAAGAGCTACTAGGGCTCGGTGATGTATCAGAAACTGCACCAGTCCACGATTCACTAGATGAGTTCCCAGCACGGCTCCTTGCTGAAGTAGAATAACCTGCTTGATCGGTTACCATATACTGATCTTTACTACGGTCTTTTGCCGAGTTTTTTGTTCTGATAGCATTCTTATCCCTCATGCCTCTTCTTGACTTTGCATAAAAGCACGGCTTGTCGTCTTGCTGACAACGACTGCATGAAGGCATTTCTGCTCCGCATTTTACATGACGACTTCGACACTGTTCAATTATTAGTATGCATGACAGCAATTAACGACTCAAAGATGATACCGGTACACATGCTAACGAGACCCTGGTGCCGCCTCTAGACTCGCGGCTCTGAGTTATCGTTTGGTGTTTATTCTGGGCCTCTTGAACCGGCGTTCCATAATCAAAGAACATTGATAGTGGATCTTCTAGGACTCTCGGGGATGGAAACTGGGACCTCAACCCCTCGGGATCCATGACGTCTAGCAATGGGGCGAAAATACGGATGTTCGGATCTTAGTGTAACTTCAATAAAGCTCTAAGCTTTGAGAAATGAAAATATTAGATGAAACTCTACAAGATATACAAATCGTAATATTGTACGCTATTCAAGAGTTGAAAGCTAGTGTAGCAAGCTGGTGATCTTGATAGTCAGACCATGAGGTAGTCTTGAGATTATCTCGTAGTTGATGAAGGACTGGTTGTGTATCATGTAATCCGCGATATTGAATTAACCCCTGCTCTATTTCCTTGTCCATAACTAAGCGTCTTCTAAATGTCAGCAAAGTGAAGCTCATGTCAGCGAACAGTTTGAGGAATCGGATGGATCAAAATCAGGCAAGGAAACTAGAAGAAATACCATCCACAATTCATTGGTGTTTCTGAGCTTGGTACATTGCATTGAGATGCAAGCCACCATTAGCGATTGGCTAGACGTGATTATTGCTTCCACCATCGATCTACAAGCCAATAAGATCAACTTTTGTCATTCTGCCATGCATAAAGCATGCGTTATATCACCCAAAGAGATATGAAAAAAAAACAGTAAAGCCCGTTATGCAGTAAAAGATCCGGCGATAACTTGGTATCCCACGGCCGCGATCGCCGCTCCAAGTAGTCATGGGTCCATTCTTCTATCGTGCAATTGACACATATGCACCAATGACGATACGGCTCTACCAAAATTGAAGTCCTGGGGAGAAATTGATTCGGGGCACCTTTTTTGATTTATAGCAGTAATATTTTTTTCCGCGGAAGAAAGATTGTAGAAGTCGGCTAAAGACCATTGATTCCTCTAATATAACCTTATCTAATGGAATGAGCTGTAACATTGATAGACCAGATTTTGGCCTCTCTTCAGGCTGTTCAAATTGTAGAGAACAACATCTCGTAAGTCTAAACATGAATAGAATTGCACCCATATGTCTGAGCCACTTAAAAGTACCTGAAGATACACCACTTGGCTGACCATCAACTATAACAAGAACTTCTTCCGGGTGGATTCTTAACCCTTCAGCCTTGTGGAAGACTCGAAGGCGGGGCCGCTGGAAGAAGGTTCCAAGCATGCTATGCATGATATATGCTTTAAACTCAATAGAAGTCTCACTATCCATCCGAGACTTTTCTCGAATGCAACTTTAGAGATACCTAGTTGTAAGACTATAAAAAGAGAAGTGGGAGAAAAAAAACTAGGCAGCAATACTACAAACGGTGAAATGTCCTCTGAGTAATGTAAGCACATTGCATGTAATGCAGGAACATTGGTAAAGTTTGTAGAACGTAGATTCGTTGAAGAACGAGACGAACCTTAACACTGCGGGAAACGAGTAACTTGGGAAAAGGTAAAACATTGCCAGGAAAGAAAATCCACTAAAATGGAATGTAACGAGATGTGTAAGATCTTATCTGACCAATTCTTAAAAAAATTGAGAGTTTCGTATTGGGACTGGGCTGAGTTCTTGAAGACGAAGTGTGGTGGGATATTAATGCCGGTACGTGGCTGCTTGTACAACGGTCAGCTTACACTTTTGTATTTTACTAATCGACTTTGCAATTTGTAATGATCCCAGAATTGACCAAAGAACTGGTGGTCCACTACGACGGTGATCCCCAACTCAAGCTTCGAGAATTGTGAAGGATGCTCATAACGGTAGCCCTAAAGATCCCTGACGCCAATGAGATTGAGACAAGCTTATACATATCAGAACTGCGCACTCCTTTAATAGGACTTGAAAGATTGTAGCTGAGAAAATTTTCGACACTGGCCGTTGTTATTCTAGCAAAAAGACACAAGCCAAACAAATAAGGTAGAAAGACTATGCTCAAAAAGTATCCAGTACGAATGAGCGAACTGCATACTTGAAAGGGGGCACAGCAAGTACGTATATGTATGTAGAAGCGTACGCATTCGTGTTCACAAGCTATCTATACAGATTACTTGATAGTCACACAGCATTGCACACCACTGACAGCAATTCGGAAGAAGGCATCCAGACGTACATAACCTCATAACCTCTGGTGATGTCTTTCAAAAGAAGAGAAATAGAACACTTCTCGAATTCCAAGTGATGTGACACAAAATGACTAATGTAGTAAAGTTCCAGAAATCCACAATAGCTTCTGACGCTAATCTACATTTAACATTAGCGCAATGATCCCAAAACGGAAGGACGGAGACTAACCTCGGTATCTACGTCAACACAAGCTTGCATTCTCACGATTCCACATTGCATTTCGTACCTTCTTCCAAATCAGCGAATAGCTTCCTCAAGACTATTGAATATATGAAATATATACACGCCATTCAATGCCCTCTCGATGACATCCAACGATTTTATCCTCGCCCAACAGCGCCTTGCCGCTCGTCGTCAAGCTCGCGAAGTAGCAGCCCAAACCCATCTTAATCGACGACGTAACACCGCCATCTCCCAACGAGTTTCCTCTCTTCCCTTTCCCTTCTCTCGATTAGGGACTGCAGGTCTTACAACATGGGATACAATTGCTGGACGCGAAGGAACTCGTCCTGCTTTTCGAGTCGGTCAAGTCGATGCAGAGTTATTGGATGAAGAATTATTAGACCTATTGAAAGGGCAAGTGGGAGAAGGCTTAAAGTATTTCGGTACCCATATACAGGATGATTGGTCTGCGGAAATAATGCTGGCTCTGAGAGCTATTCTTTTTAAACTCAGTATATGGGATCATGATGCTACGTATGGAGCTACATTGCAGAATTTAAAATTCACAGATGCGCGACATTCTGGACCGGTATTGGTATCTCCATCGAAATGGCAGAAGAGTCTATATGGTCTCTTCACTGTAGGCGGCAAGTACGCCTGGACACGTTGGGAGAACTACCTAGTCGATTCAGACAATGGGTATAGCACCCCCTCACCCCTTATGAGTCGACTCTCTCGCATCACAGATCTCTTAACAAATGTTCACTCCACCGCCGCCTTCGCATCCTTCCTAGTGTTTCTCGTGAACGGCAGATATCGTACTTTGCTCGATCGAATCCTACGACTCCGACTAGCACCCCCAACAAGCCAAGTCAGCCGAGAAGTATCATTCGAATATCTCAATCGCCAACTTGTATGGCACGCATTCACCGAATTTCTCCTTTTCGTCCTCCCCCTGGTCGGTATTTCTCGCTGGAGACGCTTACTCTCCCGTGCTTGGAGACGTACGAAATCAGTTTTTAACACATCATCTCCTGATGATCTTTCTATTGATGAAAAGAAAGGCGAACTTTCTTTCCTGCCCGAACGTACTTGTGCTATCTGTTACCATGATCAAAATGCGCTACAAGCAACTGAAGAAGGCGTTATGGCTGCTGCAGCTAGTACCGGCGTAATCGGGAGTGCGCAAACCGACATCACAAATCCATACGAGACGGTAGAATGCGGATGTATATATTGTTTCGTATGCATAGCCAGTAAACTGGAAGCAGAAGAGGGAGAAGGATGGACATGTTTAAGATGTGGAGAGGAAGTCAAGGGATGTAGAGCTTGGAGTGGAGATGTTGTTATTGAAGCTCCAGCTCCTGCCCCAGCTCCCGTTGTGGAAAAAGAACAACTTCCCAAGCCAAGAAAAAGCGTGGAATTCCAAGACGACAGGATGAAAATTGTAGATCCAAAATTGGAAGATGGAGATTCATCAGATCATGATTCACAATTAGGTCAAGAGGAAGCATATGATGAAGAAGAAGATCAGGGGTTGGAGGAATATGAGGATGAAGCTGAGTAATATACTTTTGAGTTTGGACAGGTTGAGATGCAAAACTTAATATTGCGATTTGGAGAAGGAATAGAGGTGTCGTTTCGCGAGGTTTGCGGTTCGCTTGATTGATTGATTAATTGATACCAGTAGGGATGATATGGATGGTGTATTCTTGGAGTTTGGGGATACGGGGAAAATAATGGGTTGGGTGGGTTGGGCTAGGAAAAGATGAGATGAGATGCCGTGGCATGGGATGGGATAGGATGATGAGATAATTTTATAGAATCTCTTTCTTTAATGGATGAAATTATTTTATGCTTCATATTCGATAAGTCTAGGGGAGAAAATACACACCTGAGATTTAAATTACCTACCTACATACAGGTCTTCTGCTATACCTACCCAAGTACTTTTCATAGATTACATAAATGACATGTATTAAATACCTATCTATATAATCTAAATCTAGTCTATGTAATCCAATCCGCTCGCTCTCTAAGATATATCATCGCATCGCATCGCATCGCATCTTCAATAATACATACATAAGAATATGAATACAAGTATAATCATGGGTATCGCTATCCCTTCTCCCTCTTTCTCCCAAAACGCCAAATTGAAATGTGTATCTGTTTCCTGCGGCCGTGGTGTTTTCGTTTTCGTGTTCGTCTGAGTAGGTATCGTGGTCGGTAGGTAGTTCGGTAGGTAGTTCGGTAGGTAGTTCGGTAGGTCGGTAGGAGGGTCTTTCATCCATCCATCCGCTTATTACCACTACTTGATCGTATTGTATGTATTATAACCAGGAACCGCATACCTCTCTATCGTATACTCGTTCTGCGTATCCCATCTGTGTCGTCACGCACTCATGCGGGTTATTCCCACCTTTCTCATTTCCTCCAGAATCTTTCAATTATCTCGCAACCGCCTCTCAAGCCTTCCCCTCAAACCTCTGCATCTCCACATCCGCAATCTGCAGCTCCCCCACCTTTGCAAACTTTCCTCTCCTCCCCCCCCTCGTCTCCGTCACCCACACGCGCACACTAACCGCGCCCTTCACCACCGCAAAAATCAGACAAATCCCCACCGCAATCCCAAACACATACGCGGCCACCATGCCATGCTGCGCCACCTGCGGGTTCAAGAACGAATACACGTATTGATGTTTCGTGGCCACCGTGACGTACGCGAGACCCAGGTAGCAGGCCAGAATGGCAATGAGCCAGAGGAGATGAATCCACGGCGGCGACGCGGTGCGCGGGATGCAGATTTCGAAGAGGGCGAAGAGGGAGTTGAGGCCGTGTTCGGAAATGTTGGACCAGGCGTCGAAGGCGGTGGGGAACCAGCCGACGGGGACCGACACCCGGAAGATGACGCCCCAGAAAACGATGGTCACCAGGATGGGGTAGCAGATGATGCTGCTGTAGTAGAGGGAGTGCAGGGCTTGGAGGGGGCGCGGAAAGCGCGAGAGGAGTGGGGTGCCGCTGCGTGCGTAGCTGAAGGTGTGGAGGGCGGCGAAGAGGAAGTAGAAGGATATGCCCCAGTAGCAGAGGACTGTGGGGGGGTTAGTATGGAGGAGTTTCTGGGTGAAGGAGGGGAAAACGTACTGGTGAAATAAGAGAAGCTGAATCGGGCGGTTGCGCCTCCGTTGGGTAATCGAGCTATTTCCCAAAAGATGGAGAAGAGAAGGACGAAAAATGCATAGAGGGACTAGATTGAAAGAATCAGTTATTGTAATTTTTATGTATACTTTATCTATACTTTACTATCCCCCTCTCTCTACATTGATTTTGAGAAGAAGTAACTTACAATTGAAGCTCTAACAGCAAAAAGCGCCCATGGAGACAACAACCACGAAGTAACAAACCGATGGCTCGGGTCCCAGACCCCATCACCAAATTTGAATACTTGCAATTTGTTGGTCGTCATGATGAATTGATTGGTAAATGGATGACTGAGATTCGTAAATAACGAGATGACAGGGAATGATTCGGTTGGAAGGAAATAAGACTCTCAGCACAGTCTCGATACGATATACCAGAGAATTCCGCTCGTGCAATAACGTACCCAACGTATGTAATCTTACTACCTAGGTATATATAACGAATAATGCAAAACAGTCTTCCCGTTCTCAATTGATGATGATCAATTCATTCGATCTCCCACAACCCTCTTGTCGTTATGAAAAAAAAGAAAAAAAAAAATCAAAAAATCAAAAAAATCCGTGTCCTTTTCTCAATTCAAAAAAAGTAAATTCGATCTTCGAGACAAAATATTCGCGAAATGTGGTGATGGATTTTGTTTCGGAAACCCCTGCAGGATAGGTACAGATTGATAAAATTCGGGGTTGTAGCGCCCACTTTCAATCCCTGTATTTGTGACAAGATAGGTATTCAATGCCGATGTAGTGGAGATGTGCCGGTGGATTTAAGATTGGGGAGAAAATGCTTTTTCATGTGTACTAAAATGTACAGACAGACTACCTAGACATAAAATAATGGAAGATTGTTGGTTTGCTGAATAGTTGAATTTGTGAAGATATTCTGGTGATAGATGTAATGGAATAGAAATGAGATGGAAAAGGTTTTCTAGGAGTAGTTTGAAAAGTTGGTACTATATTAGATTTGCTGAGCTAAAACTACTAGTATCTTGTTTTCAAGAAAGTATAATTCGATTTTGTGCACCCAGGTGATGGATGTGTGTTCCCCATACTATGGCTCAGCTATCTGTCTTGGTGCCCGCAATTCTGATATCTAGACCTGTGCTTTCTGTTCTATAGCTGTAGGATGAGATGGCATCAGTTCCAAGTGCTCACAAGTAGGTAAGCTGTGTGATTTGATATCGTATCGTGTTGGATGGATATTCGGTCGTTTTTTTCAACTATCGACTGAAGATTTACCAATAGTTTGAATTATTGGGAATAGTTCGAGAATTTTACCTGTCTTCCGACATTCTTCCTTAGTTGAACCATTGAATAAGAATGGCTCCAGGAAGTGCTGGGAAAAGGAAAACTAAAATCCTACTTACCAAATGTCTGCAGTGCAAAATTTGACATACCAGACGGTCAGACTAAGGAACTATCATTAATGTAGTTTGATATTTCGAAGTCCAGATTGCATTGCTTCCAAGTACCGGAACGAGGGGGTAATTTTGTTAGACCGTATCTCGCCTTGTCATCAAGAGAGCACATTCCTCTCCGCATTAAGAGATTCCTGTGTGGACGTGGCATTGTATCTTTCGCACTGGCTAGGATGAAGGCAAACGTTCCGAGATGAATATGATAAGTCGAGGAAGGCCGTCTTCAACGGATGTATGTGGGGAAATGATGCTTCACGACGGCTCAAGAGATCTCGAAGACATCGACCCACTAGCATGCCGTGAAGAGCTTGTGAAAGAATTCCACAATTTTCGTCCCTTCAAATTGCGCCAGTAGCTCAAGCAAGTATTGAGATTGAAATGTGGGATTTTGGGGCTACAATGACCTTAAGTATCCCACGCCGTGGACTCTCGTATGTTAATAGGGTGATGGAGCTCCTGATGTCCATATCATTCTGCTTCTATTAGACTTGTTCCGTATATAAGAAGTTGTGGATATTGGCAAAGTGGTATCTCATCGGCCGCCAAATGCTCGCGAGACATGGTCGATATTTGGCCCGTGATTCCCATGACTGACTGCCCGAGTGCCCTTCAAATCTGGCTCTCGCCAACCCAAGCCCAATATCTTCCGAGAATAAATGTTTATATATCTTGTTTCTGCTGCGCAATATTGGAGGTTCAATTCATTGCCGAGATGAAAGCAGGTACACAGATCTTTCAATATCCGAAATTTAATTGAACGTCAATATTGGTCGATAGATGATATTCGGAGAATTTGGAATGAATACTAATCAACCGTGTCAGTAACTGAAGGCGTATAAGGGGCAGATTACTGTTGACTTTTTTATATCATCTCCGAGAGGCGATAATCAATAAGGTCTTGCTGACTGGCTATGATCTTAAATTTCTAAAATGTTAATGAGCAAATCCACGATATTACTTTTGAAGGTCTTTGTGAAATTAGCCGTATGAAGGATTTAATGAAACTTGCTGTGCCTCGTGCAAGCAACTCTGGTTTTTCTCCGGTTCAAGACAGGCAGGTTGGTTCGAGAACGAACATTTGAAAACGAATTGGATCTTGAGATACGACCTTCCTTTTCATCCTCTTCCGACTCATGCTTTGTGTCCAAGTTTTTGACGACTAGACACTCGGTAAAGGTTGCAAATCCTCAAAAGGGTCATGCCAGTGATGTTATAGATAGAAAATCCACATGGGTCTTCATCCGAATCGAGTAACCTATCCAGGATGCTGTCCGGGGGATCATCCAAATTGGGATGTCTGTGAATGGTCTGTGTGTGCATGAATTTGCGATTTGGTGGAGACTTGAAGATATCAGTCACAAAAGCTTATGGTAGAGTAGGATTCAGCGCCTCCTATTTCTTGTCATGCTTCGTACATTTATGTGAGTCTACCTCGGCAAGTGATGGATGGTCGTGGTAAAGATGTCATGGGTAAATGAGGGTTCTGTGAGTGGATGAACCTCGAAAATTTCCATGAATAATGGACATCTGAGAGTACCTCAATACGTACGCCATAACACTATGAGGGAAGAACGATGTACTCCGTATCCTTGTCTCCGTCTCCTCTCCGCGATTTTCAATGATCTACGTACATGTGCAATATCGAGTCGCGAATTTTGTACGTACCTAGGTCGAAAGTGCTAGACTCCGTCAATAACAAGGAAAGAGTAAGAGAGAAACAAGGTGGCATGTGGCTTACCCGTGAGCGTTTGTCTCTCCCAAAGAAAGCAACTTCTCCTCATCTCATCCAATAGACTCTCTGTCAATGCTGAATTGAGCACATTACCCGATCAGCTTCTCCACCCCAAAAATAAGCCGGAATCTCTTGAGAACGCGCCATGCAGATTTCGCGTGGGTGGCTCGGCGGGCATTGGACAATTCAATGCAGAGTGGGAGACAAGACAAGATAGATGGGGCGCGATGGGCGATGGGCGATGGGCGATGGGCAATGAGCAATGAGCAATGAGCAACGAACGTAAGCCCAAACTTTAATTTCATTTTAATCTTCTCCTTTGGTCGATGGGAGTGTCGATGTGTCGATGAGCACGCAGACCCGATCAATTCTACATACAGTATAGAATGGATCGGCTACGTTGTAAATAAATTGTAAAGCTCATGGATTGATCAATTGAAATTTTTGATCAAGAATGTAGAGAGCATAGATGATTTGTATAAATGAATAGACCTAGGGATTGTATGTGCGAAGTAGATAATATGGCTCGTATGGGTCGAAGCATTCGTAGTATCCAAGGGGAGAAGAGACTGGAGCCATTTGCCAAGTCGTTTACCCAGGGGAACCGTTGAAATTGATGGCAAATGATTTTCTCACTATGTCGTATACGTCGATGGGAAAATCGGTTTATTGATTTTGATATTATTGCTTCCCCCCATCAAGCAACTCGATCATTCGAGAATCCCGCATTCAAACGGTTTATGTTCCTAGCCAACCCAAAGATCTACATCATGGTTTGGGTCAATTGGAACAGAAGAGAAAATGGAAAATAGGAAGCAGAAGGTCGAAAGCAGAAAATAGAAAATAGAAAATGGAAAATGGAAAATGGAAAATAGAAAATCAAGAAGAAAAATCGGAAAAGTAGAGCTAATCGTTGTGACCTTGGTAATAAATACAATATTGAGATTCTTCCTCTCTTCCTCCTCCTCTTCCTCTCCCTTTCCCCCTCCATCTCTCTCCCCTCCATCTCTCTCCCCTCCATCTCTCTCCCCTCCAAGATCTACTTCTTGTCACTGTGTACGGAGCATTATCACATAGTGAAGAGTGCTTCATCCTGCACAAGTCACAATCAATTCAGTCAAGCTTTCCTTTTTCTCACAAGCTTCTTTACTTTTTTTCAATCTATCCACCCTGTCATCACCATCACCCGCCTCTCTTATCCCACCTTGTGAAAAGAGATAATATATACGCGGTGCTGGTCCCAGGACGACAAATACAACCATTTACCATTTACCATCCCATCCATCCATCCATCCATCCATCCATCCAACAACCTCCACCAGTCCTCAAATTTTACATTCCTTGCTCTCGTCCCTTCTGTCCCATTCCGAATCACATTGTATATTTTGTTTTAATTCGCGACATCAAGACTTGAAACGAAAAACCTCCGCAATCAAAGTCGATCTCATCCTGCGCATGGTCCCCTTGACTTAAAATAAATAGTGAAAGGATGAACCCAATCTCGAACTAAAGTCTTCTTCGCTTCCCTCAAAAGCCTTGTGCGATCATTATCGATAACCTTTCCGTTGCCCACCCGTTTCTCGACGCTACTGCAACAAGTAGACAGTGGACTCTGACACAGACACCTCCTCGGTGGACTAGGGACCATTTGTAGGGGGGAGGGGAGACTAGATCACGACTGATTGGGATTGTTCACAACTGAGGAAAGCTGCCTTTTCTCCATCTTCCTTGTCTTGGACACACCGGAAACTTCTGATCATTCGTATAATCCGAATTGTGGACTTCTAGAAGAAGCGCTGCTGTACACCATCAGTGGTGCGCACTGCATCAAAAGTATATTACCTCATCTACAATACCGTGGATACCAAGAATCCGGTCAATATTCACATGCAGCTAAGAGGCGCTCGCTACGTTCAATCAATCCATGTAGGACTATCAATTCTTGCATAAGTCTTCAAGTAGGCAGGCTGCGACAATTATGGCATTTTACGACTCTTCTTCTGATCAAGAAGTCGGTTTTCCGATAATTCTCGAACCGGATGATGATTCACTCTTCGAAATGCGATTAGACGATACGAGGTTAAATAACGATACAATGAAGGAAGTGCATCATGTCAAAGAAGTCAAAAAAGTCAACGAAGTTGCAAAAAATCCCATGGTACCAAAACATCCAATAAGTTCCATGCAAGGTGCTTTTGCAGAGTCGATGCAAGAGGCTAGCGACACAGCTCGAACAGCACCCAAAATCGGCGACGCAGCGACCCGACGAAAGATCTTAATTGAACAAGATGTTTCCGAAGATACACATGCTTTGCGATGGCAGAGGCAGCCAGGTCAAAAATATCATGAATTGTGGAAATTAATGGCACAGATATCCTTTGGAATTTATCTGCTCCTCAATGGAATCGCCCGAGATGAAGAACAGGTCATGTC